TTACACTAGGAAAACTTTTCAAGTAAGTCAAGGCATAAGAATTGTTTCTTTCTGAAGCAATTGGAGCTACAGTAGCAGAGGTTCCTCATTCTGGCTTCAGATGCAGACGCTGACATGCACATTTTAAGCCTGCACAAAACTCAGACCGAAAAACTGAAGTTGGGGAAACACTGATGCTAGACCCCTCTCCAGTGAGAGAACCTGGGTTTTCAAGGACAGAAGCTGAAATAATTCAGGGAAATTATTGATCCTTTGTATTTGAACAACCCAACCCAGATGTCAATGGCCTGGATGACATGAAAGCAGATCTTTGGCCTATATTATGTAGAAAAACATGAGCAAGATGAAACGTAATGTGTGTTTCTCAGATCCTCTGATAGGAAGGAATCATTAAAATATTGAAACCAACATTTCTTTAGAGTGAAAATTGCTACAACAACAAATCTAAATTTAATCACTTTAATTGTTGAATCTGATTCTTGGTCAGTTCAGCCAACCATATCTCCAGAGGCACCTCCCTTCACCTGGCAAGTCTACACCTCCTATTAACAGCAATGAGAATGGCACACCCCTCAAGTTCTTAATATCAAGTATATCGATTCCTACCCATTGCTCCCCTAATATTTTAAGTTTGGGGACTTCCAGTAACAGCTGGATGTACATTAGTTGTATACGGTCAATTACAATTTTCTAATATGTTTTTCCTCTAAAGAACTGATCCTATTTCTGTTAAAAGTCAATGGGAATCTTTCTATCAACATTGCTTGGAGTTGGCTTAGACCCTGATAAAACAGCTAAAAGCCAGTGGGAAATTCCTCTGTTTTGCCTAGCAGCATCTTCATTAGTAATACTTTGTATGCTCTTCTTAAATAAAGTGAAAGCATAGCACAAGCTTTTTCTCATTAAGTTCTAAGGCAATTTTCTTTAAAATAAGAAACTTAGGGTGCTGCAGAAATATGGACCTGCTTCTGCACCCCATGATGCTGTTGTAGCTACATGGGAGTGCAGTGAAGGACAGGGCTGAAAAAGGCAGTAGCAACTAGGGGTTTGATCCCACTCAGATGCATGACTCCCTCTTTGAGTCCCTGTCCCAATTGTGGTAGTACAGCCAGACTACATTTTGTCTCTGTGAAAAAGGATCACAGAACACACAGAGGGGTTAATGTTTTTGGAGTCTCATGGTTTCTGAGGAGGTAGGTAGCAACCTTCTTAATGTAGTTCCTGGCCCTCAACCCCATTCCCCTTTGAACTCTGCACAGGTATCTTATACCAGAGAAAAGTGCTTATACAGAACAATGGGAACATCCTGCTCAGCCACATCTTTCTATATTTTGTCCCCTTTCACACGGCCCACTGAGGGCAACACCAAAAAGTTAAGCATAAGGATCTCAGTAAGGTATTGCTCTGAGCTTCATACATAAGCTCGGAAGAGAGAGTGCGTGATCCATCAGTCTCCATCTGCTTATGGAAGAAAAGATTGATTACCTGGTGAGTGTGAGCTTTCTTTATTCCTGCACAGAAACTTCTGATCCCATTCACTCCTTCTGGCCATTCCCATGGGTTTAAGAACTTCTTTGAAATGTAATTGATAGAATTCCTTAAGAGGAATAACTAGTTGTCTCCTATGTTCTTTCACTTCAATCAGTGTGGACTTAAAAAAAAAGTCTAATCTGACATCCAGGAATCTCGCAACATGAAGTTTTCACTTTCGGTCTCTTCACTTTACATTTAAGTGAACTCTGTGCTCATGGGAGGAGGACAGCTGTCACCTCTGGATGCAGGGGTGAATGTAGGGATGCAAGAGAAGGAAAGTGAAAAATGTCCTGGAAAAATAGGGGTGCTAATCAAAGCTACATTGAGAATGTATGCTTTCTAATGTTGGAAGCCAGAGTAATCCCACTTAACAGCTATGGACAGTAATATGCAACTGGGAAAATAATAGATTTCAGTCTATCAGACCCGACAAGGCCATGAGGCACAATGGCTCTCCAAAATTAGTTGCAATCCTGACTGGCTGTGACCTCCCAGACCTCCAGTGTACAGGATACTTGTTACTAACAAAATTACCCATAAATCACTCTTGAAAATGCAAATTCTCAGTTTATCATCTGACAAGCGGAATGTCAGTGTTGCCAACTCTGACAGTTTTACTGAGAGTTCTTTCTTCGGCTACATCCACACAGCAGAGCAAAAGGTGAATTAAGCTACACAACTTCAGCTACATCAATTGCATAGCTGAAATCAAAACAGCTTAATTTGGCTTTTGGCACTGTCTAAACAGCAGGAAGTTGAAGGAAGAGCACTCTTCCTTCGACTTCCCTTACTCTGACTCCTGTATCCCTTATTTCACAAGGAGCAAGAAGTCCATCTCAAAATTATTTCGAAATAATGGCTTGCTGTGTAGACATGCTCTTTGTTATTTCAGAATAACATCACTTACTCTGAAATACCTCTGCTGTGTAATCGTACCCTCAAAGCCCTAGCTTTGCATTTGAATCTGCTTCACATTTGTAAGCAAGTTTCTAGCCCTCACATCTGTGGGGGGAAAAGCTATAAAATGTGACCTCAGTGTGCCCTAAAGGATCAGGAAATAGAAGACAAAAAGAAACTAACATTTATTATTTTATAGATATGTATGTATTTTATTATTACCAAATCTCATGATTTTGCGAGAGGGAGTTTAACTCCTGATTTTTGGATGCTTGTGGTTGGCGATACTGCAGTGCGTATGACAGTAGTGACAATTTTCTCACTTTGCCTATTCGAAGTGCTTTAATACTGACCTGCAAGGATCACTTCTACAGATTAGATTGGTGGTGGGTTTTGAGGTGCAGCTCCCTAGCCAATCAGAGCTGAACTGCAACCATCAACTTATTTCAGGTGTTTGACCTAGCTACATATATCTTCTGAGCCATCCAGTCCCTCAGTTCTTGATTCATATTAGTGTAGCTGTGTGCATCTGGAGTTACAAAAGCTGGTGTGAAAGGTGAAAATTGCATTTTCTAACCATGCATAAAGTGATGTTTTTAAATCATTAAACCAATAATCTATGCTTAACCCACTCTAGCATGGTGGAAAATCATGGCAAAAGCCAGTAAATCAATTCTCAAAGTTAATCTTGATGACACTATCTCACACCTTTTGTACTCTTCCTTCTTTCTAACAAAATGAGCTCGGGACTCTGTCACCCTGAAATCTGAATGTCCTGGCTGTTGGCCCAGTGTGTCCCAGCTTATTAGATAGGGAGTGAAGGGGTTTGGTGCGTGCTATATTAAATCAAGCTGTGTTTCTAGTATAGCTCACTTCATGTATTTGTGTAGCAAGGACTGTTTGCTGAACGTGGCTCAGCCACACCATCTGTGCCACTAAAACCACATTATCTGTATAATACCATGCTAAAGTCAAACTACTGAAGATCTTCTCCAGTGTTTCACTCAGTCCTTCTTACTGATTGATTTTGATTGTAACACTGGGGAAGCACCTGGAGGCGCTCATCAAGATAAGGGCTCTATGGCTGTAGATTTGGTACAAACACATGGTAAGAGGCAGTTCTTGCACCAAAGGTGCTGCAGGCTCATGGGAAGTTCTGCATCCATAAGAGCTTCAGAATTTGGCTGGGATTTGGTTGGCCAATCTCAAAGCAGATAGAACTCTTTTAGAGGGTTTCACTAACCTTTCACAAAGTGACGTCCGTAGTGGAAACTCAGGTGATCTTATAAAGGTACGCTGACAGGAGAGATTAAGGGACCTGGAGCCCTGAGCTGCAGCACAACAGTAATGGCAGCCGGAGTCCGGAGCCCCCTTGAATCGCAGCTGAAGCACTGTGCTGCATGCACCATGTGGCTCTGGGGGGGGTGGAGTGTCACATTCCAAGCACTTGTAAGGGCTGGCTGCCCTGGCTCCACCCCTTTCATCTGAGGCCCCGCCTATTCCAGGGGCATGGAGCCGTGCCCCCTCACACAATTTGCCCCGGGGCCTGTGGTGGCTATTGGCCCGGTATCTGATGCAGTCACATGATCAGCATAATTTTAATGGCTCCTTGCTGTTCACTTTCCCCCAAATGGCCTTCCCATATTGTTTGTCTTCCTGTTATTTTGCCATTATAGCTGTGTAATACCTATAGCCTACTATAGTATCCGTCTCCTATGTAATTCCAGTACAACCGGGTTGCCTCATTAGTGCCAATACCATGCTGGCTTTCAAAAGATGCTCACTTTCCTTGCCCTGCAACTTGAATGAGGCAGTTTGAAATATTAATTTAGGAATAATTAACTTAGGAATAATCATAATCAAAAAGCTTGTGTGTCTTAAAGTTATAGAGCACATCAGTACTTTTATTTTTAAAAAAATGAAAAGGTAAGTGTCACTGTCCTCATCTGGGAAAAGGATGATCCCAGTGGAAATAAATGGATGGAAGGGTAAAAAAGGATATTTAGGGCATTTGCTTCTCAGAGGAGATTTGGAATGGAAAATTTTTGAACTTGGCTAATGAGAGGTTTATAGTTTTCTGTCACAGATACAGGGACAGGCATATTTCAAAACAGCGTTCTAAGCTGGGTAGGCTTAAATTTAAACCTTGCTCTAATTTCATTCATCAGCCATAGAATACTTTCATGTAACACTATGCAGAAGAAAAGATAGTTTGCTTCAAAGCAATCTGAAGAAAAATTGACCTCATTTTTTTTTTATGGTCTCCATTTCTAAAAATATAAATGACTTTCTAAAAATATAAATGACTATTAGTGATAATAAAATATTAACAAAATCTATCATCCAAGTGTATAGATGAATGCTGAATTACTCCTCAAAGAAATACTTAAATGGGGATTAATGGACAACTTTATTCTCCTGGACTTGCAGACCCTCCAGACAAATGGGCTCAGAGAATTGTTAGTCCTGTACCCTTTGAATACTAGTGCAAAGTCAGACCAAGTTAGTAGTGCCCAAAAGTGTGAACAATCTGACAGTTTAAAGTATTTTCCATTAAATGAATTGCTTACTTCAGCCAGGCTCTTGGCAGCCAGGCTCTTGGCAGATAGACATTTGTGCCACAAATTGCCATCCACGCTGACATTCATGCACTCCCTGCAGGAAAAAAAATTGGACAAACTAGGAAGAGCCCAGACCCTTCCCTTCCTTTCCCCACACATTGATTCAGTAAGCCTGAGTAATCCCATATGGAAGTATGGCATCTTGCCATTGTTGTAGGGGCACAACAAATTTGCTACTCCAAGAGCAAGAAGGAACTGGAGCAACTGACTTTGCCACCTCTGAGACACGATATCTCCCATGGAAGTTCTTGGGGCAGTGCATCTTACAGACCTTACACGCTTGGTAGTGGCTGTGCCAAAAGTCATAGCCCTATGACTTCAGAATTCCAATTATTCCGCATTTGAGAAACCTATTAGTGAACCACTTGTATAGAAACCCACCAATAACTACTGCCTATAATATCCATGCCTCAAATAATGAGGCATCCGCCTGCCATCAGTATACAGGGAAAATTACTCTCCTCCAAGAGGAAAACTTAAATCTACCCAGAATCAAAGCAACTCCTTTAAATTATTGGGCAGAAGGCAGGACAGTATGCCTGCTTAGACAAAGGGCAACATTCCTAAAGTAACAAGGATATGCCCATAGACACAGATCAGAACGCCCTCCCATTTACTTGCAGGGGTGTACATTGGGGAAAATGAAATACCACAGCAGATTAACTCCGTTTCTTGAAAAAACGTGGTTGAATGTTCCAATTGGCAACCTTGCAGGGGCCGTTATACTGTCATTTGTATATTAATTTCAGTAACAAAGGCTCCCTTCTCAATCCAAAGCTGAGGATGGCGCAAACAATGCCATTATTCATCTCCTGGATGTCCTGACAGATTTATGCAGTTTAATACCACTGCTACCAGAAGTAATTAAGTAAATGAAGGAAAGTTGGGAAACTCTAATTCTGATGGTGCCTGGGCAACTGTTGGTTCCCAGCCCCACCCCCAAAGCTCCCTAGTGCCAACTCCTCACCCTGGATGCTCCAGTGCCCCCCAGTGTCAGTCCCTTGCCTCTTCTGGCCTCCCCCACCCCTTAGTACTAGCCCTGACTCAGAGCCCCCAATATTAGCTTTGCTCCCAGAGCCCCCCAGTGCCAGCCCCTGCCTCTTAGAGTCCCTCACCCCCCAAAGCATTATATATCCAAAAATGAACATACCCTTCTTGAAGGGTTGTGTGTGGTTTATTTGTTTTGTTTTTATTTGGAGCAAATTTCAGACTTGCCAAGTAAGCTGTAGGGAACTTGAAAGATTAGTAGCATATTATGCAAATAAGGTTTGCACCATATTAGAATTTAATTTACCAAAATGTACCCCCTTTATCTGAAAGTGTGCATCAAGATGAAAGACATTCACAAAACCCACATCTTCTCACTGTTTCAAAATGAGGCTAGAAATAGAGTTATTTGTCAGAAGTGTCAGGAATCAAAGGAATTTTTTCTCCCCTGGCAAGTCAGAATAGAACTTAAGCCAGTGAAAGAAATTCTCAGATCCAAAATCCAAGTTATCCCAAAGCCTAGAAGCTGTTATACTTTGGCTCAAGGGAGTGTTTGATTCTCAGCAAGGCCACAAAATGTCACTAGCTATAGGACTGATAGCAATGATCAGAAAGGGGGCGAATCCCAACATCATGTGTTACACTATGGCAGTGGTTCCCAACCTTTTTTAGACCGCACATCAGCAAACCCATTCACACACTTTTGGCGGACTGGTAACATTCTATTTGCATACTGATTATGCAAATAAATGTTACCGGTCTGCCATAAGTTTGTGAATGGGTTTGCAGTCTGCAGTATAAAAAGCCCCATCTCCAAAAGTCTCTCAGTGCCAGCCCTAACCCTTAGAGCCCAGCATCCCTCCAGGGCCTCTCAGCGCTAGCCAGTGACCCCAGAGTCGCCTGTACCCAACACCCCCCCCCAGTGCCAGCCCAAATGCCTCAGTGCCAAACCCTGCTCCTTAGAGCCCCACCACCACCAGACTCCCAGTGCCAGCCTCCTGTTTCCAGAGCCCCATTGCACCCAACTCCCCCAGATCCCTCCCCAGTGCCAGCTACCAGTCCCCAATATTAGCCCTGTCCCCAGAGCCTCCCAGTGCCAGCTCTGCCTCCATAGTCCCCTCACTACTAGCCCCACTCCCAAAGCTCCCCAGTGCCCCTCAGTGTCAGTCCCTTGCCTCTTATGGCCCCCTACCCCTTAGAGCTCCCCAGTACTAGCCCCGCCCCAGAGCCCCCCAGTGCCAGCCCCTTGCCTCTTAGAGTCCCTCACCTCCAAAGCACCCCAGCACTTTGCCCCTGGAGCCCCTAGTGCCTGCTCCGCCCCCCTCACCTAGCTCTGCGCTGCCTCCCAGCCACCATCTGAGTGCTGTGGCCTGGGTCATGGCTGCTCTAAGGCTGCTGTGCCAGGCTTCATGTGGACCCTTCTGCCATGCAACAAACTGCTCTTCCGCAGCTGGGAGGAGACCCTGCCCTGCCTGGCTGAGAGGCGGGCAGCACATGCCTCTCCCAACAGCCACAGCAGGAGGAGAGCACTGGGCAGTGTATCCCAGTCCTGGCCCCCAGAGCAGCCGCAGCCTGGCAGCCAGCGGTTCGTGGCCCAGCACCGGTCCACAGACCGGCAGTTGGAAAGCGCTGCACTACGGAGTTTAAAAGGAACTCACGCATCGTCCGTGAGCACAGCTCCCATCTGGGTATGAAGAGGGAACCCTGTTCAAATCTAAGCTATGCAGGGACATAGTCTCTGGTATCAAATGGGGAGTAAGTGGTGCAATAAGTTAACATGCTACCTACTCGAGGCCTGTCCACCGATCTCTGCTTAGGGCATGAATAAAGAGCTGGACAATATCTGCTTGTTGTCGCATTTGTGCACATCACAATACGTACTAGTGACCATTTCTGATGGGTTGAGAGAGGCCTCCAACTGGAAATAGTAGTGGTATTAGAGGTCCGAGCTAAGGTGTATTTAGTTGCCCAAGATTATCCCTGTATTTCATTGGTGTTATAATAAGAACAAATTTCCCTTGAGAGCTTTTGATAATATGCTTTGATCCTTTTCATACATTGCTTTTCTTTTAAATACTCTAATACAGGAGAGGGCAATAACACAGCAACAGTTTGCCAGGGTTAGCCTCTGGTGGGGTGTTGTCACTGTATTTACCTGCACCGCCACAGGTACTGGCACTCACAGCTCCTGTTGGCCGTGGATTGCCGTTCCTGGCCAACGGGAGTGGTAGGAAGCGGTGCGGACCATGACACCACTTTCTGTAGCTCGCATTTGCCATACCTGGCCAATGCAATCAGTGGCCAACAGGAGCTGCGATCGCCAGAACCTATGGCTGTGCAGGTAAAGTCAGCAGTGGAGTCCTGCCAAAAGTTAATGCTGGCAGGTCGGATCCAGCTCCCAGGCCAGTATTTGACCACCCCCTGCTCTAATATATTTTGTAATTTATTTTGAAGTTGAACAGTAATGTATTTGTACAGTAGGAGTGAAATCACGTGTATACAACAGATATCTAACTCTAATCAGCTGTGTAGAATCCTCTATGGTACCTTCCATGAAACTGAAAAGATGAGGATTGTTTCTTAAATTGTCAAAGTGCTGTAACTCTCCTAGTAGCCCACAGAGGTACATAAACAAGTGCTGTTAGTCCCATTTTGCAGCTTAGGAAACGGAGGCAAGGAGGTGAAATCATAAAGTCACAGAGTTTAAGGCTAGAAGGGACCACTAGATCTTCTAGTCTGATTGTTTGTATATCACAGGCCAGGAACACCACCTAGCATCCTGAACTCGTCAACCAAAATAAGCCTCACAGAGCCTTCTGTGCCACAGGCAAAGAGGAGAGACTAAGACGCATCAGTGCTCAAGGTTCCCACCATGGCAAGGAGAGGATTAAGTGAAAGACTCACATAATCCTGACAAGTGACCTTCCCACACACACAGCAGTAACTTGGCCCAGGGTGCAGAGGAAATCCATGTTAGAAATGCGCTAAGATATGACTGACATCATAGTTGCAAAACTGAGCTCACAATACTTTCCTTTTTGTGTGACTCAGAGCCCATGTTGTGGGAAGCAGTAATACTAAAAAGTGTAAAGCTCTCTAGCAGCCTAAATTAGACTATATAATAGCTAATTAATCTTTTATGTAATCATAACAGGGATTATCTCCAAGTGTGAATATGAGCTTCATTCATTCTGTGATAGCAAATTAACTATACAGATAATGTACATGAAATTTCTGTATGCTCAATATAGTGTAAAATAGACCATATCCTTTTCCCACTAAACAAGGATTCATATTTACAGTGATCAAGGGGAATATATGAGTGGTCCTGCAATGAGAGGAGTCTGAGCTGATTGATTCTCTGGAACCAGCTTCATTGAAGATCAAAAAATACTGGACTAGAGGTCAAGAGACCTGAATCTTTATTTCCAGTTCTGCCTGTGTGACCTGGGGAAACCCATTTAATGTGTGCCTCAGTTTCCCATCTGTAAAACAATATTTATTTTAATGAGCTTTTTGATCTACAGTGTGAATTAAAAGTTCTATGTAGTATCACAAAGTAGGCAGATTATAGTGCCCCCTGCAAACTGGAATGCTTTGTGGAATCAGAATGTCATAGGCTCGCAGATAACAATTCTACATTTTTTAGAGATACCAATTAAAGGGCAAATGCTAACTGGGCAGTAGTGTAGCCTCTGCTCTAAATATTACATTTATATAGTACTGTATGTGGACACGTGAACCCAAGGGGCTTTAAGGTTTTGCAAACTTCTGGAATTATTTTTTAACCATTCTCAAAGCTAATTTGAATTCATATTTTTTTCTTGTAATTAAAATCTGTGGTTTTGTACAATAGCTCCTCAATATAGAACAAAACAATTCTTTAACTATAGGGCGTGTTGAGAACTAAAGATTCTTCTTCTCTAAAAATGGATACAGGTGGTGGCCGTGCATGTAATATAGATTTATTTTTTTTGTTCGAGGTTTTTGTCCTCTTCTCAACTCCTAATTTCACAATCATGTTACATTGCATTTTTATTAACACTGTGCTATTTTTGTCTGGGTGTTCTTTTCATCAAACTGGATCTTGCCTGCTTCTTTTTTTCTTTCTCTCCTAAGCAGAACTAAAAGACAAAAATGTATGAACTTTCAAACATGGGGGCTGTGTCTACAGTGGCCACTTATTCCGGGAAATCAGCCGCTTTTCCGGAATAACTTGCCAGATGTCTACACTGGCCACTTGCTTTTCCGGAAAAACTATGCTGCTCCCGTTCGGGCAAAAGTCCTTTTCCGGAAAACTGTTCCGGAAAAGGCCCAGTGTAGACAGCACAGATGTCTTTTCTGCAAAAAAGCCCCGATCGTCATTTTTGTGATCGGGGCTTTTTTGCGGAAAAGAACGTCTACATTGGCACGGACGCTTTTCCGGAAAAAGTGCTTTTCCAGAAAAGCATCCTGCCAATGTACACGCGCTTTTTCTGGAAATACTTATAACGGAAAACTGTTCCGTTTTAAGCATTTCCGGAAAAGGGTGCCAGTGTAGACACAGCCAGAATGTCTGTGAGGATTTGAAACTACAATAGAACCTCTGAGATACAAACACCAAAGTTGTGAACTGACCCGTCAACCACACACCTAATTCAAAACTTGAGGTATTCAATCAGGCAGCAGCAGAGACCAAAAAATCAGATACAACCAAATACAGTACAGTGCTGTGTTAAACATTAAGCTACTAAAAAAAGAACATTTAAAACATATTTTATGAGATAATGAAACTGTTTCTGTGCTTGTTTCATTTAAAATAAAATGGTCAGAGGCAGCATTTTTTTTCTTTGAAATTTTACAATGAAGACATGTTAAATCAATGTTCAGCTGAAAACTTTTGAACCACCATAATGATTTGTTCAGTCAGTGATGAACATTTCAAAGTTATGAACAACCTCCTTTCCAGAGGTGTTCATGACTCTGAGATCCTACTCTGAGTCAAACAAGTTCTCCTATCTCTACAGGAATATTTTGTCACACAGTACTACTGTATGTACTACAAGTGCTGCATGCTGCTGTTGGAGAGAACGTGTGTTTGCAGAACTGGAAAGAGAATTATGGACTGAGTTTATTGAATGGATAAAAGCCATGTGGGTCAAATCAACAGCCAAGCTGAGGGTGAATGTGGGAGTTTATTGCTCCAAAGAACAGACAGGTGGAAATTTTTGCTTCCCTCCTTATAAATCTGGAAAGAATAATACAAAGGAAGCTGTTCACCTTGAACTTCATAATAACAGATGCGCGAGAAATCAGTTCCTCCTGCTTCAAAAGCAGAAGTTGCTACAGGTTGAACATTTCAAGTCTGGCACTCTCTGGTTCAGTAACATCCGCATGTCCATGTATCATGGGTGTGGACTAGTTTCCCGTGATCCCATAAAGTTTGTTTACAGCCACCAGTCCTGGCTCTGAGTGTTCTGTGCTTTTATTTAGCTTTAATTTGCCCTATATATCTTCTAAGAGCCCAGTAAGCAGTGGAAGTATTGATAATGCTGCTAGACAATATTGACCTCCCCTGGTCCGGCAAATTTCTGGTTTGGTATCGGTCAATGTTTGTTTCTATTCAGCAACAACAACATTGGTGCAGATGACTGGCATGGAAACCCACTTGAATACGCCAGTGTTCAACCTGTACCTTGGCTGTCAGTGTAGCCTCAGTTCTCACCAGTCACTCTCTCATCTCCCCTCCTCCCTTCAACTCTCTGAATTTTGAGTGTTGATGGGAGTGCAGATGACTCAGATGTCAAGTGCGGCACAAGACTTTGATCTGCCACCAAGCTGCAGGTGTGGCTGGTCTGAAATATATAAGCAAGTTTGTGAGTGAGATCAAATAGGAAGATTCATAGAGGAACGACACTGACTTATACAACTTTGTAAGCTCTGCTCACTTCACTGAGAGAGCCTGGCTAATGAGCAAGACAACCGTATATAAAGGTAAAGAGACAGAGAGAGAGAGAGAGAGCTTGCAGGTCTCTAAACTCCACTAGTGCTGGTGAACCCAGCCCTTTCTCTTCCTGGGGGTGATTTTCTGTTTCTGCTGCTCCAGCTCCTCGTACAACATCTGGTGTGTGTGTGTGTGTGTGTGTGTGTGTGTGTGTGTGTGTGTGTGTGTGTGTGTGTGTTTTTCCCACTCACATGCAATGGCATGTCAGTGTAGCACAAGCTATTTGGGCACTTCTAGTCTGGGAGAATGAGGAACAGGGGATGCAAACCCCAGGATCCTGCTTTATTCAGGTAGAATCTCGTGTCTTCCAGGGGAAACTAAAAGCATTTCAGACCCTTCCACAGTGGACACTGAATCGAGTTAAGGAATCCTATTTAAACTCTGAAACAGAGTCCCAACTAACCAGTCTCTAGCATGGGCTGTTAGAGATGGGGACAAACAAAAAAACAATTACTTATAACTGTTGTTCTAAGGTGTGTTGCTTATGTCCATTCCATGTAGGTGTGTGATGCCTGTTCTTTGCGAGTCGTGTGTGGGTTGGGATAGAAAACTGGTAAGGAGATGTCCTGGGACGTGTGGAACGGCGACACCATATTAGGGAGAAAACATGGGTGTGGTTGTCACTTCACCTTGCTCTCACAGAACACTGTATAAGGGGGCTCTGATGTGAGGGTCCTCAACTCAGAACCCCTTCTGGCCGACATAATGGCCACCAAGAAGGCTACCTTCCAAGAGCGGTGAAACAGGGAACATGTACCTATGGGCGCAAATGGAGGATGCATAAGACCCATGAGCACCAGGTTAAGATCCCACTGAGGTATGGGTTGCCTAACAGAGGGTATCTCCATCTCAGTCAGGTACCACATCAGTGAGGGGTTTTTGTGTGTAGCCCCTGACTGATTTTTCTATGGGTCAGTGGTGCCTGACCCCAAAAAGGTTTCCCACTCCTGGTTTAGTAGGTAGTTTCACTAGAGCTAGTTTTGGTAACATGTGAAACCACATTCAAGGTTAGCACATCCATATGACCCTTGTGTTGAATTCTACAAGGTCATCCTGAATGAGTCTAGAGGTGGAGTAAGACTGGGAGAAAATCCCTCCCCCCAAACCTACTCTTGAGTCAGCTACCCCTAAAGCCAACTGAAGCAGGGACTTGCCCAGGCCTGCCAACGGGGGGAACATGAGGAGTAGTTGCCCCAGAGAACAGTGATTCAAAGGGACCCGGGGCTCCCAGTCCCTGCCACTATTACTGTAGAAGCAACAGCTGGAGCCCTGGACCCTTTAAATTGTCCTCGGAGCACCACATGCTCTGTGCAGCTCAGAGAACTGAGGGGAGGGGTGGGCTGCATGCCATAGTCCAGGTGCTGCTTCTGCCTGAGGCCCTACCTCTTCTGGGACATGGAGCCAGTACCCCCATCTTGCCTGGGGTCCTGTGGAAGCTGTCAGCCCCATCAGGCTTGACACAGGCAGACACGTTCCTCAGTCACCAAATGTGCCAAGGCAGCCACAGGGAGAATGAATGAAATAAATTCTCCCTACTCTGCTAATGCCCACCCACCTGCAAGCATGTCAGGAGAGCCAGTTAAAGTCTGTAGTGTGAATGAGAACGGTGTCCCCATAACTCAGCTGAACCCTTGAACTGTTGAAGGCTTTAACCCAGTTAAAAGGACACAAGTGGGCACACTCCACCCATTTTACATGTCTTGTAACCAGGCTGGAGATAAGCATGTTGTATTAAGGTCTCTTGACTTCGCGGGGATGACTCCTAAGTCTAAGTGTGCTGCCGTGCGACACAACCGATAAAGTCTTGGGTTTCCTTGAGGAAGTGGCAATTCTCTGTAGCAGAATGAAGGAGGGAAACTTAAAAGGACTCAAAGGATACAGTTCTAGCAGCGGCTCATTTGTCTTTCTGAGGGATGGCTTTAATTGTCGAACTGCATCCGTCTTTTGATACGGAGTGGCACTCATGTTCTTCAAAGAAGCAGAATATC